TGTGAGGAACCGTGGTAGAAAGTTGAGTAGGAACTGTTTATGCTTGATTGATAGATTGAAGGAGAGAGAGAGGGTGTTGAGCCGACGTCCAAAAGAAGGTGACTCAATTTGTCCGTTTGGTGATGGTTCTAACTTTACTCACACTTGTCCAACATGTTAGATTAAGCTTATCAACCAAACCAGACGTGCCAGATTATGCAGCCTAAGTCTTGTCTTTCCTTGGGGTGTTAAGCTTTAATGACCCTAGATTGAGAGTTTAGGACAAGTTGTTTCGTAACTTGAATTACATGCTTATAAGCTCATATTTCATTATCTCAATCATATTTTCCAACGGACTTACGCGGTATCGGTCAGGGCTTTCTCTTGGGTCATGAAGCCTTGAATACCAGAGTCTGACATTATTCTTATGAACATTGATTTTGGACTGGTATTGCGCATTGACGCTAAGGCACATTCATGTACACAGACACTCGAACAAAAGTAGGAGGACCAATATGAAAGATAATTAGCCAAACCACTCTATATCTATCTAGGTTTTACAATTTTATTTTGCTTAACTGAGTCTATATAAAAGGTAAGATAGAGCCAGATAATCTTCATGCCCTAGTGTTAGTTTGAGACTTTTACAAGAATGAGTTCCAGCTCTGATGATGTCCATCCTATCATGGACGATTGTTCAGTCTGTTTTCACCCGAAACGAAGAAGAAAGTCTTGTGACTTCGTCTTCCTCATGCACTTTCATACGAAATGCAAGTGGCCCTAGCAACCACGTCCTGACATATGAATAAGATAATGCGTAAATTCTTGCGGGGTGTATCTAAGGGAAACATACCCTTGGATAGCAAGATTAAGTAGCTTCATTTCTTCCCATTTTTTTCTTCAATTTGGCCAGTATTATTATTCTCTGAATGGCCAAAGCTTTAAGGTAATTCAGTTTAGCCATCCAAGCCATTATATGGATTGTTATTCATCAAGAGTTACAGTTAATCATGAACTTGACCATTAAGTTAAAACGAGCTTCTTTCAAATCCCTTTAATAGTGAAGAGTATACTTTAGTTGACACACTGGTGCCTATACTTTAGATTTTGATATAGCTAATTAAAAACCTATTATTATTATGTGTTTTCGACCAATTGAGAGTGTCAGGGAAAGGCTTATGCTCTCCAGGGCCAAATGCTTTCGGAATAAGTAGCCCTTTCTAAAATGTAGATGCAAATAAAAGCTGAATTCTCATTTCTTCATTGCCGCCTCAAACCAGGCCTTGAAAGACTCAAATGATCTTCTCTATTGGTAGGCTATGACCAAGTAATAAGGTCCAGCTAGAGAAATCTCGGTTGCCTCGAAACACTGATGGAAGTTAAATTTGACTTTCTAAATTTTCATTTCAACTGTGTCGGCCAGAAATATACATTTTTCCAAACTTTGTAAACCATTCCCTGGATTTTATTTTGTCACGTGGCTTTTGTAAATACGGATAAAGAGCATTCGTAGCTATTTAATCAAGATTTATTAAGGCTTTTACTTAAAGTATTTCATGCTCCAATCGTACTTGCTTCATAACATACAACATTTGACTTCGATTGCATAAACCGCGTACTAAGAACTTCAACTTTTATCGTGCTTATAAAAGATTTAAATAAATATATATTTCACTGTACAACCATAAGGATTGTTTATGAACCTTTTCTGCGAATCCTTTACTCGAGCCAGTATTGTAAGTTCCTCAGCTACAAATCAGCACATTTGGCTGTTCTCTCTGCACTACAAGCTAAGTGTAAACTTATTAGCTTCCAGCTTCCCCTCTTGCATATAATTAATTAAGCCAACTATCAGATAACTTTGGTTGAGCATTGGGTTTCAGCAAGGGTCACTTTATTCCCTTGGGGCTAATAGTTGATCCTTTTACGAGACCTGGTTGATCAGCTGCTCTTATTTGCCTTATCACGACTCCTAACTGGGTTCTAACCTTGGCCAATAGACTGCATAATCTAATGAAGGGTCTGTGGTACCAGTAGACCAGTAGCGTTTATGTGTACTAGTGGGAAACTCTACTTGATGTGCTGGTTGAGGGGAACTACTAACTTGAACAGTGCAACTTTGTCGCACAAACTGGACAGTTCCTGAGTCAGTTTTGAAATCCAAGATCCACGATCGGAGGTCTGTCCCAACCGGCTGTGCCGACTAAAGCTCCCTATTTTGTCGGAAGGGGCCATAGATTGAGTTAACTTCTTGTCTCACTCCTTTGCTGTTGACGTGTGTGTCAGCCATTGTTAATCACCACACTCTCATTTGTTGCGTGAATGCAAAAGCATCCATCCTGGTGAGACTTTATTGTATATAGGTCAGCGGCATAAGAGTCTTTCGTTTTGTACCGCGATTTGTAGGGCCCTCAAAACCTCTTTTGAAATAGACAGCCTGATTCACAAATCACTTGAAGGTAGACACAGCCCTCTTCTTGCTCTTCTTCAGGTGAACCCTGTCTATCCTTCATTCAAGTATATGTAATGGTTATTTGGAGTTTGTTTGGCCAGCCTTATGTCCAATACAAATTGATTGATAGAAAATCAATGTCACCATGTCTCCCTGTCTACAAGGACAAGAATAGGTAAGATGAAATAATTTAAGATTTAAGTGAAAAACAAATACAGAATGGTGTAAACAGATTATGAGCTATTATGAGTGGATGGGAATGTGCGTGATTACATGTGAGGAGTGCTCCAGACTTGCGTGAGTGTACAACTGTCCGGGCAACCGAGTCTGCAACTGAAGAGCTCTCTTCGGCCCCAGGGCCTACAGGCTCTCTTTCTTTCTATCCTTCTCTATTCCCCTCTTTGTCCCTTCCTCTCTCTCCTTATTTCTCTCCTTCGTTCTCTTTCGCTTCTTCTTCTCGCACTTTATGTGCTTCTCTCTCGTTCACTCTCTGTCTGTCTCGATGCGTGATGGGGAGGGGACCTTTTGAGAGCAGCGACCGGTAGCGTTGGCAGCTCCGTCTCTAGGCTCCGAGGGGAAGGTCAAAAATGGAGCCTACTCTGGCACCAGCTTAAGTAGGGCCAGAATGAGAATGAGGATGAATGCGGTGTTTTCGTGTACTGCTGAATGTCCCCAAACTTTTGATTAATTTCCCCACTGGACAAAACAAGCCCAGTGAATTAATCCTTCAGGTCGGACTGACGGCAGTAAATAAGGACCGCACTTTTACTGCCCTTTTTTGAGGGGAGAGGGCCAGTCACAGCGCCGGTATGGGCTTTCCCAATTTTTTTCCTTATGATACTGCCTCGACAAAACGCCGCCTAGGCACCAGGCCGTCAAGTCTTCCATCCTTGCTTATCCGAGTCGATATCTCACCCATTTATGCCTAGTATTTCTGGTTTTTTGGCTCTGTTTGAGGGTCAAAAAGTGCCGACGTTTGGCCAGCGAACGAAAGTTCTGCGGATAGAATGGGAAAATTGGGTCGGCTTCATTCGGGGCTCGCGTGGTGTCGCTTCAGCAACAATGATTGAACGAAACATCGCTTTACACTGTCTCCAGCAATCAGATTTCACCAGCCCCACAATCGAGGTGCACAGCCCTTACTCGCTCACAGTCATTTATGTGTATGCACGAATGTACGAGCGCTGCTGTGTCTGTCCGGTGCCGAAACTAATCCTTAAGAGTGGATGAAGTCGGGGTTTACAAGGAGGATCACGAAGTGGACTTTGTTGCAGACCAATAAAGTTCCGTATCCCGCGTTAACCACTTCCCACTCTTAACTGTATTGGGTTAGGATGCGTGCTTCCGTAGTGGGGAGGCAGAAGCCGAGCAAAGGTGTTGTAAAATAAAAACTTTGAGCTCCATTCTGCCTCACGCCATTCACTTTCAGTCAGTTTCCCTTAACTTTGAGGCGCCTCATCTGTCGCTTTTAAGCACCGGCTAA